GTTATGCTATATGTGTCTGTGGTTATGAGATATGTGGGTAATGGTTATGAGCAAAGTGGTGTCAAAGGGTATTTGGTTATGCTATATGTGTCTGTGGTTATGAGATATGTGGGTAATGGTTATGAGCAAAGTGGTGTCAAAGGGTATTTGGTTATGCTATATGTGTCTGTGGTTATGAGATATGTGGGTAATGGTTATGAGCAAAGTGGTGTCAAAGGGTATTTGGTTATGCTATATGTGTTAGTAGTTATGAGATATGTGAGTAATAGTTATGAGCAAAGTGGTGTCAAAGGGTATTTGGTTATGCTATATGTGTTAGTAGTTATGAGATATGTAGGTAATGGTTATGAGTAAAGTGGTGTCAAAAGGTATTTGGTTATGCTATATGTATTAGTGGTTATGAGATATGTGGGTAATGGTTATGAGCAAAGTGGTGTCAGAGGGTGTGGTTATGCTATATGTATTAATGGTTATGAGGTATGAGATATTGGTTATGTGACTAGTGGTTGTGAGATATGTGATGTTGGTTATTAGATATGTGACTAGTAGTTATGAGATATGTGATATTGGTTATGATCAAAGTGATGTGGTTATGAGCAAAAAGGTGTTAATTATAAGATATGTGATTAGTGGTTATGAAATATGTGATATTGGTTATGACAAAAAGGTGTTGGTTACGAGATATGTAACTAGTGGTTATGAGATATGTGATGTTGGTTATGACTTAAAGGGATTGGTTATGAGATGTGGTTATGAGGTATGTGATCAATAGTTATGAGATATGTGATATTTGTTATGATCAAAGTGGTGTTGGTTATGAGATATGTGATTATGATTATGAAATATATGATATTAGTTATGAACAAAATGGTGTTGGTTATGAGATGTGGTTATGAAATAAGTGATATTAGTTATGAACAAAATGGTGTTGGTTATGAGATGTAGTTATAGCTAAGTTATGATCAATTTGATTATAGTTATGAAGAAATATGATTTTAGCTCATAACTATAAAAAGTGACATGTTTAGCAGGTCACTTTTAATGATGTGGCTCAATCCTAACCATTGATTTTGTATGTACCATACATTTTTTATACAAAATGTACTATAGACTTTCCCGTTTTGAGCTAGCTCTCTTTTGTCTTCGCAAGCATCATGGCAGAATTATGCGTCGTCATCTTCAACCCGGTGATCTTTAATTGGGGAATTGGTGAGGGTGAGGGGATGGCAATGTCTAGATTTGACAGTAATGGTAATGTTGAAATGGAATGGACATGAAGATTAAGTTTGCACTACGCACAACGGAAGAAAGGGGTATGGCAAGGCTGATCACAAGTGTTGCAACATAACTTCTCAATTGGCTTATTGAAGAAAGCCAATTTTAAACATCATGATGGTGGGTTTTGAGAAAAAAAAACATCAAAGGTCCAAGTAAAATTTACACTTGGAACATACGAAAGCAAAACCACTAGTATTGAAGCCCAAAAAAATCCCTAACATGTCCCAAAATAAGCAGAATAATCAGATTGATAATCGACAAGGGTGAGAGTGTGTAACGGGTGAAATACATGTGTTTGATTTGCAGTGGCATTTGGGGGCACATGATTTGTGAAGCAAAACACTGCATTCAAGACATTTATATGGAATTTCTAACCCACAAGTCTTGTGGGAGTTCCAATATCTCAATCTTAATTTTTTAATTCTTTAATTTAAAAAAAAAACACGGCATTTATTAACTTTTCCTTATCCACAAGCATTTTTTGACTTCTCTCATAGGTACTGTAACACTCTTTTCAACTTCTCTCATACACTATGATTACTGATGGGATTGTTAAATTATTTTTATAAAAAATCTAAAAAAAAATAGTAATTAATCCATTTAAAAGGAAGGTTAATTAATCTATATAAATATTTAAATAGCTTTTATGCCTTAATTTACATATTTCAAAAAGAAAGTTAATTAATTCATTTAAAAATTTAAATTTGAAAGGAAAGTTAATTAATCTATTTAAAAATTTAAATAGCTTCTATGCCTTGATTTACACATTTTAAAAGGAAAGCTAATTAATTCATTTACAAATTTAAATTTAAAATGAAAGTTAATTAATCTATTTAAAAATTTACATAACATTTATGCCTTGATTTACACATTTCAAAAAGAAAGTGTAACAACCCTCGTCACTGTTTACCGAATAACCACTGATTACCGTTAAACTGAAACTGATTATGACTGATAAGTGAACTGGATAAACTACTGAACTGACTGGCTGAAATTGAAACTGAATTGATTGAGTATACCTGTTTAATTGTAATTCTATCTGTTTGGTTATTTGATGATCTGTTCGGGTCTTTGTGTTTAAACTGCTAATTGAGGGCCTTATAGGCGGTCGAACCGAAAACCGATTAGTGTTTTATGATCATCGTGATTTATGTGATTTTATGGTGTAATTACCTGAAAACTGATTAGGTATGATTAAATTAGATTAAAATGAGTTAAATTGCATTGTTACACTTATTTACCATTTTGCCACACTTAGTGGCCACTACCTTACACATTTTGAGACTTGTATACACATTGAATCAACATTTCCATCAGCCTTTCCTTGTCTCAACCGACCAAGAGAGAGAGAGGGAGAGAATTGATTTGTTCTTGAGAGAATTGCTTGGAAATTAGGAAGATTAAAGGAGTTCTTGCAACATTGAGATTAAGTTTGCACTACGCAAGAAGAAAGGGGTATGGCAAGGCTGATCACAAGTGTTGCAACATAACTTGTCAATTGGCTTATTGAAGAAAGCCAATTTTAAACATCATGATGGTGGGTTTTGAGAAAAAAAAACATCAAAGGTCCAAGTAAAATTTACACTTGGAACATACGAAAGCAAAACCACTAGTATTGAAGTCCAAAAAAATCCCTAACATGTCCCAAAATAAGCAGAATAGTCAAATTGATAATCGACAAGGGTGAGAGTGTGTAGCGGGTGAAATACATGTGTTTGATTTGCAGTGGCATTTGGGGGCACATGATTTGTGAAGCAAAACATTGCATTCAAGACATCTATATATTATATAAGAAAAATGGGATTTCTAACCCACAAGTCTTGTGGGAGTTCCAATATCTCAATTTTAATTTTTTAATTCTTTAATTAAAAAAAACGCGGCATTTATTAACTTTTCCCTATCCACAAGCATTTTTTACTTCTCTCATAGTTACTGTAACACCCTTTTCAACTTCTCTCATACACGAAGGTTACTGATGGGATTGTTAAATTATTTTTATAAAAAATCTAAAAAAATAGTAATTAATCCATTTAAAAGGAAAGTTAATTAATCTATTTAAATATTTAAATAGCTTTTATGCCTTGATTTGCATATTTCAAAAGGAAAGTTAATTAATTTATTTAAAAATTTAAATTTGAAAGGAAAGTTAATTAATCTATTTAAAAATTTAAATAGCTTCTATGCCTTGATTTACACATTTTAAAAGGAAAGTTAATTAATTCATTTACAAATTTAAATTTAAAATGAAAGTTAGTTAATCTATTTAAAATTTTAAATAACATTTATGCCTTGATTTACACATTTCAAAAAGAAAGTTAATTTATTTATTTAAAAATTTAAATTTAGAAATTGAGAAGGAAAGTTAACTAAAATATAAATTTGAATTTGAATTTTTATACTACTCAAATATAAGAATTAATCTACATCTTTCATAGATTTTTTTTCTTAATGTTTAATAATTTTATATGCATTAATATTCCAATCTATATATCTATATTATAGCAAACAGACATTCCATTAAAAAAAAAAATCATTAAACCTCCAAAGATTAGTGATGTAGATAGAATCAAACAAAATGTGTAGTCTTAGAGTTTTAAAGTAAAAAATTTATGTTAGAATTTGTTCAAATGTAATTCTCTTAATATTTATAAATATTTTTTATTGATTGACAAAAAGAACTATAAACATTAAGATTATTGTTTTTTAATTATTTATTTATATTGAGTTATTAAAATAAGATGTATTATAAGCTTAAACCAAGAATTGTTGGGGAAAAAAAATCGACTCAAACTAAATTTTTTAGACTCATATTTTTAATATTTAATCTAATATTTGGACCCTCAAACTAACTTATATGGGTTACAAACTGATAAAGATAATTTTAAACAATCAAGACAATTTTTAATGACTAGGTGAATGTCACATTGGCATAAATATTCAGTCAACTAGCTTTCAAGTCACTTCTAATATTTAGGGGTTGTTTGGGATGTTCAAAATAAGTGTACTTTTTGATTTTTTATAAAAAAATATGTAGAAAAGTAGAGAAGAGATGTTGATTGATGTGACTCAAAAAAGATAAAAAGTGTAGACTTATTTAGTCTTCTCAAACTAGGCCTTAGTCCAACACCACAAGTCAATTTTAATCCATTTTCACATAAGACACTAAAACAAAATGCACTATTGGCGACTGAAAAAAATTTAGTCGCCAAAAGTTGTGTAATTGGCAACCAAAAATAATATTAGTTGGCAAAAGTTGAAAATTTAGCTACTAATTTTTTTCAGTCAAGGAATTATTGATTATTGGCGACTAAAAAAAAATTTAGTCGCTAAAAATATCACAATTGGCGACTAAAAAATTTTTTAGTAGTTGTATAGCTAGTTTTGGCTACTAAAATTGTCTAGTAGCCGAATGAAAAAAAAAATTAAAAAATTTACATTTGTCGCCAAAAGTATATTTTCAACGACAAAAAAATAATATAGTAGCCATATAGTTAGTTTTAGCTACTAAAATTGTTTAGTAGCCAAATGAAGGGAAAAAAATATATATATTTTTGGCGACCAAAAATTTAGTTGCCAAAAATATATTTTCAGCGACAAAAAAATATTTTAATCGCCAAAAAGTTAAAATATGTGGAGGGAGATTTCAAATTTTGGAGGAATTAAAAAAAATAATTAGTCGCCAATTGTTATTAATTATTCGACTACTATCAGTCCTCTCCCATTTCACTCTCTCATCATCCCTCTTCTCTCTCTCTCTCTCTCTCTGCTTTGTTTTCTATTTATGTTTTGCCTTCATATTGTTAATTAGCCCTAATTTTTATACATAACTCTCTCTTTTTCTGATTTTTTTTTTTCCCAATGTGATTCTTTACAACCCATTTCTCACCCTGAACTTCTCTTCCCCTCTCACCATTGATTGTTGGGTTGTGTGTATGTATAGGTGGAGTGACATCTATGGAATCATTTTTGAAGTTCTTTCCATCTGTGTACGAGAAGCAAAAGGCGGATAGTTCGACGAACCAGTACTGTAAATTTGACAGTTTCACTCTCACTATGTTCACTTCATCTCTGTACTTGGCTGCTCTGTTGTCCTCGCTCGTTGCATCAACGGTGACCAGAAAATTGGGCAGAAAGTTGTCGATGCTGTTCGGAGGTGTACTGTTCTGCGCTGGAGCTCTCGTCAATGGGTTTGCTCAAGCAGTCTGGATGCTAATTGTTGGTCGTATTTTGCTTGGTTTTGGTATTGGATTTGCTAATCAGGTAACTTGCTTTCTCTTCTGGAATGCTTGTTTGTTTTCTGATCTTGTTTTGTGCAAGGGTGTTCTGTTTTTGGATCAAGAGATTCGCAATGTTTACTCATATCTCTAGAACTGGTATTTTCATCACCCATTTTACCTACAAAATGGTTACTACAGTTGAGGTGAGCTTTACAATTTAGGACATAAGTAGTCAAAGTAGCATCAAGTAAGCTTCTGTGATGGCCAATGATAGTCCTGCAGTTCCATTCATCTCCTATTTCAATCTATTCTCAACCATTAAATTATATAAAAACTTTGAAGTATGATTCAATTAGGAACTCTATTGCGCAAAGTGTTTTTGTGATAATAATAATTCATTTTAAAGTGTAGAATACTTCCAAGTTCCACCTCTGTTAACTCAACAGTCAACACTCATGTTTCAAAACTGATCCTTTCGAAAAAACACTATATGTCTGTTTTGCCTATATATATGTCTGTTTTGTGATAGACTGTCAAAAAATAGCAAAAGTTCAAATTTTTCCTCTTCAATTGCTAGCTAAATAGCTCAACAAAGTTGGTCAGAATCATAATTTTTTTCTTGCCTTCAAACTGTTTGATAAAATGTCTCTTAGGCTTCTCAAAATTCTAAGCCACAAGCCTAACTTATTGGCAGTGTAATTGGTGCTCAAACATGTACTGAATCAAGCCCACAACAGCTCCAAATCTTAATCTGTTGAAGCCACTGCTTGCATATTCAAAAATCTTAATCTGTTATAATCTCAAGGTTATCAATCCTTTAAGATCATGTATATCTCACATTTGGAATGACTTTGGATTAAGAGGGGAGATTAATGCAATTCTATCGTATCTCATATTTGTTTGGAAGCATTATATATGAACTACTTAGTGTAAAACACCCTTTTGGACCCATCCCCCATTCGGGAATCGATAATTCCCCATATGGGGATATACCATATTTTGATGGTGCTAATCCGAAGCTTAATTTTCCATCCATATGGGGCAGAGACTAGTGTGGTAAAGATCATCAATGGCTTGAATGGAGAGGACATAAGAGTTGATTTGCAACCAAGAGGACTTGAACATTATTGAAATGGATAGGTGAGTGATCCTTATGTGATGAGGGATGTTTATGGATTCTCTCTCTCTCTCTCTCTCTCTCTCTCTCTCTCTCTCTCTCTCTCTCTCTGTGCATGTGTGTGTGGATAAGTATATCAATTTTATTGAAAGGAGTGGTGCCTAGAGCAAAAGAGGGAGAATTTGTGCCACGAACTAGTGAGGGTGGCTGGTCTTCTTAGAAGCCAATTACTGGCTTTTTTCAGATTTTTAATTTTGCAAGAGAACATAGTGTCCTGTTTCCTTATGTTGACTGTGTTATTATATCTCACTAGCATACGTGACAAAATTTCATTCTTGAAATGCAGTACTGATCTCAAGCTCCCATGTAATTCTCTATGTGACTTTCTTGTAATAAGAATTTAATTAAGCCGGAATTCTGCTGAAACTAGACTTATATCCTAGATGCATCTTCAACTCCTATAGGCATAATATCATGGTTCTATAGTAAACCCTGCAGATTAACTTGTGATATATCTCTAAGAAGTGAATTTTTTAATCAAGAAGTTTAGCTTTTGTTGCTTACTGGGAAATTGAACATTTTCAATTTTTTTCACTGATGCTTCCAGCTTGGTTTAGTGATCGATCTTACGAATACTAGTCGTTACTATCATGCATCAGATTTGAAGAAAGAAGCTATTAAGCATGTTAAGGTGGGTAATGGCCAACTAAATGAGGTTTTCTTCCTTATGATTTTCCGACAATGGCAAATGAAGTCTTTCCAACCTTTAATGATTGCATTTGTTATTCAGATTCAATGCAAGGGGCGTGATTCTGTACCTGATAATGAGGCTGTAAATTCAGTAAATAATTGAATATAACTAAGTTATGAGTTAATATGATGATAGTTATGACTAATATGGTATAGGTTATGATATAAAATCATATAAGTTCATAACTAAATGTATGGTACACCTAAATGTACCATAGCATCACCCAGTAGTCGTTACTATCATGCATCAGTTTTGAAGAAAGAAGGTATTAAGCATGTTCAGCAATGCTACAGACCCCCACTGGGGATGACCCCCAGTGACCCCCAGTGCCACGTGTCGGCCTAGGGTTGGCTGAAAACTCAAAAAAAAAAAAAAAAATTGTTTTTTTTTTGGACCAATTGGAGGTGAACCCCAGTACCCCCACTGGGGGTCCAAAGCTTTATTCTAAGCATGTTAAGGTGGGTAATGGTCAACTAAATGAGGTTTTCTTCCTCGTGATTTTCCGACAATGGCAAATGAAGTCTTTCTAACCTTTAATGATTGCATTTGTTATTCAGATTCAATGCAAGGGGCGTGATTCTGTACCTGATAATGAGGCTGCAATTTACTTTGTTGAAGCTCTAGAAAATGAGGTTTAATATTAGACAGACTTTTCAAAAGGTCACTATCATTCCTAGAGTCTATACGAATATAATGGTTTTCATATGATGGTATGGAATTATTATTTTAGATTAGAATATACTTAGTTTGTATGGAATTTGACATTAAGTTATTCATTTTTGGATGGTTGAAAGTGAAATGGATTCAAATTGCGAAATGATTGATAATATATGTATTGTTTTGTTTATATACATCGTATAGGTTGCACGGAATACATATAGGTTATGGACAAATTAAAAAATAATAATATTATGTTTTTGGCCACTAAATAATTAGTAGCCAAAAAGGCAGTAAATATTTTTAGTGACTAAAATAGTTAGTAGCTAAAAAAAATAAAATGAATAAAAAAACTTTTGGCAACTAAACTTTTAGTAGCCAAATAAAAAAATAGACTTTAGGCGACTAAATTTTTAGTAGCCAAAAAAAATTACACTTTAGGCAACTAAAATAAAAAAATAAGATAAACAAAAAAATCTTTTTGGCTACAAAATAAATTAGTCGTGGAAAACAAATTTAGTTTTGGCGACTAAATCTTGTAGTCGTTGAAAATGCGATATAAATTTTTTCTGAAAGTTTTTGGCGACTAAAAGATTGGTCGCCAATTTATCCAATCAACGACTAAAGTTTTTTTTGTCTCCAATACCTTTACTTTTGGCGACTACTTGTTTAGTCGCAAATTTAGGACTTTCAGTGACTAAAATTTTTTTAGTCGCCAATACCTTCGTCAACTGTTTTTCCTCGACCAAGATGGCGACCAAACTATTTAGTCGGGAAAATCTTTTGGCGACTAAAAATATGACTTTTGGTGACTAAAATTTTAGTTGCCAAAAGTGCAACTTCTTGTAGTAAGAGTTATAACAACAATTTTAAGTAAACAAACTTTTAGGTTTTACAAAATAAGAAAAAATTAGTATATTAAAAAATATAATTTATTACTAAAATTAAAATTACGAAACTTATAAAACGAAATGTATTTATATTTTGTTGTAAATAAAAAAAATTTAATTTATTATTTAAATTTTACCAATTAAATTATGACATGCAGATTTTTATTAAAAACTTAAGAAATACAATTAATGACATTAGAATAAAAATCTTCTCTTAGTGTACCTCTAATAAAAATTAACAAAATTTTATTGATTATAAATCACTTTTACAACATATTTCAAATAAATTTTATATTATTATTTTAATTTAAAAACTAATTTTTAATTATTTATTTATACTTGTGCCTAGCAGGAGTAATATGCTAGTTCATAGATTATGGAAAAAGCATCAAAAGTTAGGTTACATTAGTTGCATTTATACGCATAATTGTTAGATGAAGATTGAATGTTCTGGGATTGGGGAATTTTGGTGGTGAGAGTGAGAAAAGCGCATTTAACATGAAGATTAAATGAACAATCTCAAAATCCAAACATATGTATGAAATACCCACAACTGTGGCCACGAATCAATTGATGAACATCTACGTTTGTGCCTGAAATGTTCAATTCTGATCTTTTCTGTTGATCTTTCTCCAACACACACACACACACACACTCTCTCTCTCTCTCTCTCCCTCTCTCTCTCCCTGTCACCTCCCGGGCATAGAATTTTTTAAAATTATAACTTAAATTTTTTAAGTTATAATTACAAAAAAAATATATTATAACTAAACACAATATGAAATATAATTAAAAAATTAATAAGTCATTATTAAAATAATATCATAAGCAAAGAAGAAAATTTGTCATAACTAAAAAAGAAAATGATACACCCTCTTTAAAGAGACATTAGAATTTCCTCATATTTTAATTGGTAAATTAAAAATGAGATTTGCTTAAAATATAAATTATCCTTTGTGATTTAAAAAATTATAAATACTATCTTATTAAAAAAATTATTTAATAGAATTAACTAAAAAATAAAATTTCTAACTACTATCTTATACAATAATAAAGTTATCTAAATTATTAATTGAAGTAAATTTCTAACATCATTAAAAATTATTAATTGGCTTAATAATTTATTAATAAAATAGACTATTTGTTATGAAATTATAAATTTCAAGGGGCAGAATGTAATTTTTAAAACTACAGAGGGTAATTTCTATTTTAATCAAACCTTCGGGGGTATATTTATAATTTATTCTAAAAATTTTGATTAAAATTTCTAAATTTATAATTGTTTCAAATTTTGAGATATTCTATACTACACACTTCTTGTGACATTTGTGCTATTTGGTTATCACCTATTGTCATATTAGTTATGACTAATTATAATGTTAGTTATGATTGATTTTAACGTTAGTTATAATTTATTATTATTATTATTTTGATTGTGATCGAAAATATTTTTAATTATACCTTATGTAGTGTTTAATTGTGTCTTTTCTTTTTCTGTTACAACTAAAAATAATTTAATTATATGGCTCACACATTTTTGTGGGAGTGTATTTAAGACTATTTTTTCTTTGGGATATTGCACTTCAGTGCAAGTTTCTAAAAAACATTACAAATCAATGGGAAAATTTATCAAATTTTAATAACTGAAATTTTAAATTTTTTTCATAAATTTGTAAATATTTTATAAAAACACAATTCATTTGCAATTGTAACTTTTTTTTTTTCTTCCTTTTTCTTGGTGTTAGGATAGGATAGATGTAGATAGATAGTGGGTTATCCTAACAAATAGGATAATCAGAAATTAAATTTCAAATTACATGGGTAATTTAAATAGGCCATGGGTCATGTCACATAGGCGTCCAAATCCGGGTCCAATACTCGGCCCAATTTCCAACAATTTAAAAAATAAAAAGAGAAGAGAAGTGTTTTATAAGTAATTATCCTATCTTTTAAGAATTTTACGTTAGCAATGTACCCAACCAATAGTAAAGGACTAAATGAATACATGACCTTAATAATAAAGAAATGATGGATAAACTATAAAATTTCTAGAATTGGTTGAGCACATGAACACGTGGTCTTCCTGACTTACTAGATAATTTTTGGGTGTTCTACCTAAAGGAGACATAAATTTAAGATAAACACTACTTTTAGGGAAATTCTAATATATACCCCTTTGAAAATGGTGCACTATATATAATTATAGTTTTGTCATTTTCTTTTTTAATTATGATCAATTTTTTTCTTTAGTTTTAATATTATGTTCTTTAGTTATAGTTTATGTTGTATTTAGTTATGATATATATATATATATATATATATATTTTTAATTATGATTCAAAAAATTGAAATTATATAATTTTTCTTTTTAGTTATAAGGTGCATATAGTGCACATTCTTTGTGCACCATAGTTTCCCAAAAATTGGTGATACCAAGCCATTGGTATCACTGTTTAATAATATATCAATATTTACTTTTGCATATGTGGCAAGGTATTTCTATCTTGGTATCACTGTTTAATAATATATCAATATTTACTTTTGCATATGTGGCACGGTATTTCTATCTAAAAAGTAAAGGATCATCCTTCTCATATAAGGTTTTTCGTTTATTGGTGATAACAAGTTATCGGTATCAATAAGGGTGAAAACTTGGCTCGGCCCACTGTCAAGTCAAGTGGGCTCCTATCAAAATTTGGTTTAGGTTGGCTCACGGGCTAAAAAAATTAGGCTCAAGCCCAGGAGTATTCGAGTCTTGAGCGGGCTAGTGGTTCGGATCTCGGGTGATCATTTTTAAAAAATTTTTTATCAAAAATGACATTGGGTCTCAGGCGAGGCGGACCTCGGGTAGGGCCTTAAGTAGGTTGATGAGTGAGCTCTAGGTCGGGCCTAGCGAGGCCAGGCTCACGGGTCAAGTCAAGCTTTAAAACAGGCGGCCCAGGCCCAAGCTTAGAGTCTTGGGCTTGGACGGGCTTAGTTGGGTTGGGCCGCATGGGGCTCCGGATGGGTTTCGGATGCGCTATGGGCTAGTGGACCAAATTTACATCCGTAGGTATCACTGTTATATTAAATTTTTGTTAAGTTATTTAGAGACTGAAAAAATCACTACAAATACATCAATTTTTTTTTTTAATTATACTTTTTTACACATTCTTTGGTTCAAAATTAAAAATTAATTGAACTAAAAAATTTCCAAAGGAAAAAATTCAATAAAACAGTTATGCGTGTAGTCCGCAAAGCAAAAAGTCAAAGTTACATTGATATGTATGGAGAATTTTCCTGATATGTTTGTCATTGTCACTTATTTTTTATTTAAAGGAAAATTTTGTTTTTTTCTTTTTTTTAATAAAAAAAAACAAAACTTATTTAACGTATAAAAATATTTTAGTAACAAAAAAAAATATAATTAAAAAATTCATCACTTTTTTTTCTCATAACTATCTATTCAATTAAAAAATAATTCTTAACATATTAACTTTTTCTCAAATCATAAAAAACCACAAAAAAACCACAAAAAAAGTAAGTTGCCAAATGGACACTTGACGGTTCAGCTCAAATCATTGATAAACTGGGAAAATATTTATAAAATTAAAAATTAAAAAAAAATCCAAATAGCATATGAGAAAAATGTAACATAGATGTTGAACTGTTGAATATAGAAGAAATTGAGAAAATTTAAATGATTGATAAGAGCCAAGAAACAACTCTAACAAATCAACTTGTAATCAAATGTGTGAGTCGAGTAAAAAAATTTCGCATTCGGCAAACAAAGTACATCTATACCCATCACCTAGTGGCCCAAACCCAACCAAGCCCACTAGATTGCAAAAGTTCAAATGTCAAACAGTTTGTTCGCCGATCAAATGATATGCCGAATAAGTAATACAGGTAGAATCAACAAACATCCATGTCGAGTATTAGAGTGGGCCTAAACTATCCCTCTCAAAGGAGTTAATAGAAGGCTAGGAGCATAGGCTCTGACTAGGGGTGTAAATCTGACTCAGCTCGACCCACTCAGTCCATGTCTGGTCTCGTGGTCTCCTGCCAAAATTCGGGCTGGGCTGAGTCGGCCCACGGGCTAAAAAATTGAGCCCAGGCCCATGCGTATTTGGATGGCCTGGGGTTTGGGCGGGCCTGACCATTTTTTTTTTTTTAAATTTTTCTACCAAAATTTTATTATTTTCCATTAAAAAATACACTGAGCCTTAGCGCGGGCGCGGATCAGGCTTCGGGCTAAGTCCTAAGTGGGCCTTAAGCGGGTCGATGAGCTAGTCTATGAACCGGGTCAAGCGGGTCAGGTTGGGCTTCAAAACGATAGCTCAGGCCCTTGCCTAGGGGCTCGGGCCTAGGCCCAAGCGGGCCTAAATGGGCTGGGCCTATTTCGGGCCGCCGACGGGCTTTCGGGCAGCTCACGGGCTGCGGGCCATTATTACACTTCTAACCCTAACATTGTGATGATGATGAAAGAAAGATTAAATGACATAGGAAATATCTACACCAAACATTTGTATAAAGAAGGTAAACAAAAGAAGTAGGAATGCACATTCATCAAACTTGACTTAATTTTCAAAATATCTATCTCACTTTCTTTCATCTAAAATCTAACTTAATCATTGGAGTGTTAATTTCGACACTTTTGACCAGAGTGCTTATTGTTTCAAACATCGGAACGAAAATCAAACAAAAGTCTATTTGAGACGAAAGAATATTATGGAACCCCTCCATAGTCCATCGTCATTTTGTCTATTTGTTTTAACTTCCTCAAAATATCTGTCTACTTGTCTTATCTTCAAAAAAAATATTAGAGGTTACAAAAATTCTATCAAAGTTTTTACCAAATGTCTCACATGAGTGTGAGATCCACATTACTCATCCATCCATGTGTGAATCCCATACCCTTATAAAACATTTAATTTTTTTTTTAAGATCTCTAATCTTACTCATCTACCCAGCCTTTCTACTAGTTCCTAGTCAAAATGGAGTTTGATCATCTCCATCGTCAATTCAACCCCATTTCAGAATCAATGGTGTGAGGGGCACTGACAGCATAATGGAAGAGTTTAAAGCCATGGAGATTTATTAGTAAATAAATTGAGAAGAGTTTAAAGCCATGGAGATTTAAATGAATATTTTCTTAATTGCAAAGCAATCCATCAATATATAAAGAGCGCTCTCTCTCTCTCTCTCTCCTTCATCCCAACTAGGGCTGTTCATGGAAACCGTGTACCCACCTAACCCGCCCGACCTGATCGAACCCGACACACAACGAACGGGCAAGACAAGGTAGATGGTCGGATACGGTCAATTTTATTTAATTTTTTTGGATTCACGGTCGGAAGTGGTTTTTGATTTTTTTTCATCCGTCGAAACCGAACCGACCGAAAATATTAAGCTTCTCACATACACTTCCATTCCACTTACCAAGCTTCTCATATAAGCTTCACAATTTACAAGGTCTGTCTCTCTGAATCCCTGTGTCTCTCACACTTCACAAAGCCACTAATGTCAAGTTGTCAACTCTTTTTTTAATTAAAAAAACTGAAAAGGCTCCATCAATCTTCAAGGAGAAAAATTGAAAATGAAAAGGCAAAACAAATATATAGGGAGAGAGTGCACCCATCGAATCAGTTCATCATTTTTGAAGGAGAAAGATTGAAAAGGCAAAATAAATATGTAAAGAGAGAGAGAGAGTGCACCGAATCAGTTCATCATGTAACAATCAAAGCTTCTCTTTGTTTTCTATCTCTGAAGTTCAATCTATGACTTTCTTTGAGATGTGCGAACCAAGATCTTCAACCCTAAAAGAGGGTTATTCTCCAGAGATTCAGGTCTCTCTTTATCCATTTTGGGGTTTTTATTTTTGTTGTTTTGATTTATAATTTATAGCTTTTTGTTGGTTAATACTTCATAGTTTGATTCTCTAATCATGGTTGATTTAGGGGTTTAAAGTATTTTTCATTTTTGTGTTTTAATTTTATGATTCTCTGTTTCTGATTGTTATGTTTTCATTTAGTGTTTCTAAAATATTTTGATTGAGGGTTTGAAAAATATTATGAGATATGTTCATGTTCTAATTTAGGGTTTAAAAAATATTAATATTTGTTCATGTGTTTGTTGATTTAGAAAAAAATATTATGATTTGTTTATATTTGGATTTAGGGTTTTAAAAATATTAAGAGTTTATGTTTGATTTAGGGATTGAATAATATTAAGATTTTGGTTCATGTTTTTATTTAGGATTTTAAAAATATTATGTTCCGTTTATATTTTGGTTTTAGAAAATTAATGTTTGTTCATGTTTTGATTTAGAGATTGAAAGATTTTGGTTCATGTTTTTATTTAGGGTTTGAAAAATATTATGAGGTGTGTTCATGTTCTGATTTAGGGTTTAAAAAATATTAATATTTGTTCATGTGTTGATTGAAGGATTTAAAAACATTATGAGTTGTTTATGTTTTGGTTTAGGGATTGAAAAATATTATGAATTTGTTCATGTTTTGAAAATATTAAGAGTTTATGTTTTGGATTAGGAATTAAATCATATTAATATTTTGGTTCATGTTTTTACTTAGGGTTTTAAAAATATTATGTCTTGTTTGTAGATAATGGATCTTCCTACCAATGATGCCCTTATTGATGGCCAACCTGCTGCTACTGCTGTTGGAACTCAATCTCAACCAGTAGTTAATGCCAAAGCTACTGTCCCAACTCCTGATGACAAGCCTCCAGTTCCATCCAAAGCTAAGAAGGCACGTGCTGAGGCTACTGGCAGAGTTAAATCTAAGGTATGAGATCATTTCGATAAAGTAAAGGGTCAAGATGGAAAAATGAGAGCTGTATGTAGGTATTGTCAAAAAGAATACTTAGCTGATTCTAAGTCTCATGGAACAAGTAATTTATTGGCTCATTTTGCCTCATGTGTCAAGTATCCATATAGGGAGGTGGAGAAGGGACAGTCCACTCTGTCTTTTCAATTTAAAAAAGATGGAGTAGAGGGTGTTGACCTTGTTGCAACAACTTTTACGATAGAAGCTGCAAGAAAAGCTCTTGCTGAAATGGTGATAATTGATGAACTACCCTTTAGGTTTGTAGAGGGAGTTGGGTTTAGAAAATTCTGTCAAATCTTGCAACCCAAATTTGATAAAATCCCATCTCGTATTACAATTTCCAAAGATGTTAATATTTTTAACAGAGAGAGGGATAGCCTAAGGAAAGCATTGCATGGTCGTAGAGTTTACCTAACCACAGACACACGGACCTCCATACAGAACTTGAACTATATGTGTCTTACAGTTCATTTTATTGATGACGATTGGAAACTTCAAAAGAGAATTATTAACTTTTGCCTAGTTGAAGATCACAAGGGTTGAAACCATTGGTAGGAAAATTAGGTCATGCTTGCTTGAATGGAATATTGATTGCATTTTTACATTGACTGTAGATAATGCTAGTTCAAACAACACCATTGTTAAGTTCTTGAAAAGAAAAACAAAGGATTGGAAAGGTGCTATTTTAGGTCATGAATTTTTACACATGCATTGTTGTGCACACATTCTCAATCTTATTGTGTGTGATGGTTTGAAAGAGTTGAATTCATCTATTGCTTCTGTGCGTGCTGCTATTAGATATGTGAGGTCATCTCCAAACCGGTATGAGAATTTTAAAAAGTGTGTTAAAAAGGAAAAAATTGAGTCAAAGAGTCTTTTATGCCTTGATGTTCCAACTAGATGAAATTCCACCTATTTGATGCTAGAGGCAGCAGAAAAATTTGAGAGAGCCTTTGAGAGACTCCAAGAGGATGACTTTAGTTATCGGGCTTATTTTGGTGGTGATGAATTTGGTGGTGGTGAGCATGATGGGGATGGGGATGTGGCAAGGGGATCACCCAATGAGGCTGTTTGGAATAATTGTAGGGCCTTTTTTATAGCAATCTCGGTTTTCCCTTTTGATATCTGTTGTATTTTGGACTTTGGTTCCGTGGAGTCGGTAGTTGTATCTATCTTATTGTCATCCTTTGATTCCATTTGTTTGAGTTTTAGGATGTGTTGGGCATGTTTCAAGTAGGTAGGTTAAGCCTTGGTCTAAAATCTTGTTGCCAGGTTTTTGGTCGTTCCGCTCGAGCGGGTCTTCTAGCGCTCGAATGGAGATTGCAAACTCCCAGTATTTTTGGTGCTCTGCAAAACTTCTGCAGGTGTGATTTCTACGCTCGAGCGAATTTCCTGCGCTCGAGCGGGTCGCGCTCGAGCGGGCTTGTTGGGGTTCGAGTGGGGTAATACATTTTTGGTGTAAGTTCTGGGAGGGGAAATCTACACTCGAACAGACTGGTTTTCGTGCTCGAGCGGATGTACTTTATTCTTGTGTCTTGGCGCTCGAGCGGGCCTTATTGTGCTCGAGCGTGTCCAGATTTTTGTGCTTTACGCTCGAGCGTCCTGTTCTCCGATCGAGCGGGAATGTCATATATTAGAAGGCAGTTAGGCATTTTTTAATCACTTTTTACATTCACTCTCTCTCTTACTTTCCCAAAATCGATTTTGAGAGCCTCTCTCTCTAGAAACTCCCTTCTCTCTAGGGTTTGATCTAGTTAGAGTGCTTCCCTTTCCTTTGGCCTTTGTGAAAGTTGTGTTGATCATCGAGGGCTTCGTTTTGATCCGTGGATCTTGGAGTTTGGAGCATTTTGGTTTTCTTCATCTCCTTCCCTTGGGCTCCGAATTTGAGGTAGAGATTCCTACTCACTTTTATGGGTTTTGACCTAGATATTGAGTTTTTGTATAAATGGTTTTGGGTTTTGGAAACTAGGATTTCAAATGTTTAATTTTGAAAAGAGGGTTTTGTTTATTTTGGACCATAAATACGTATTTGGATTTCAAAATGAGTATATTGATGTTGTTGGTAATATATGGGCTCTTGGAGTCAATATTGGGAATCAAAGGGAAAATACCATGTTTGGGTATTTTTGGGTCACTAGTGTAATTAATGACATGTGTTGAGAAAATATGGAATTGAGTTGAATATAATGAAATTGGCTCATTATGAGATGGATTAGTGAAGATGGATTTATTAATCGCTCACTTTTGGAAATATGGATAAATTATCTGTTAACGCATTTATTATATGTTTAGAAATAATTGCCTTGGGCTACCGGTGGAGGGTAGTCGTGATTGTTGTAGACAATGCATGATGATTAGGCAAACTAAAACTAATCAATAGAATGTGTCATCGTATATGACAGTTGAAACAATACATTAACTTTATGTATTGTTTGATGATGTATATGATAATTGTTTATATGCATTGTGTTGTGTGGGAGGAGATAGAGGATGTACTCCACGGTTTAGGGGAAGACAGGGGATGGACCTCTAAACTGGTTAATGTTTGGGAGAAGATAAGGGATGGACTCCGGTGATACAGCTCATATGCTTATCCGTTGAAGTGTTGATATAGCTCATATACTTATCTATGGAAGTGTTGATATAGTTCATATGCTTATCTGTTGAGGTGTTGATACAGCTTGTATGCTTATCTATTGCGAAATGGAAAACGTTTAATATGAATTATTATTTCGTTTAGAGCGTATGGCCAGGTTCTAAGCCACAGGTATGAATTTGGAAATTGGATAAGACATGGAAAATGAAATGAAACATAGACATAGTGGTCATGTAATGGAAATGGTTTATGAATTGATTTATGGGAGTTAAACATTTATCAATTGCTAATGTCTTAGTTACTACTCATATTGTGTTTAGCATATCTCTACTGGGCGTTGGCTCACCCTATATGGGACATTATTTTCAGGTACATGTAGCATGCCACCTCCAAGGACATAGCTTGGATGGTTATGGGAGTTGAAGACTCTTTTTGATTATTTTGTTTGTATTACATGTATATCAAGCCAAGGGCTTATTTTGTATAGAGTTAGTACTCTTCTTTTGTGTAACCAAGTGTTGACTTGGAAAGCTGTAAGCTCGTAGGGCATTTGCTTTTATTGTTAACGTGTAATACTGTTGTAAGAACTACTCTGATGAATGGAAAGGCATTGATTTTCTTATATTACTGCATGTCTAAATGATGGGTATTATGTATTATTTTGAGGGCGTTACAACTTGGTATCAAAGCCTACCGGGTTCGAATACTTTGGGTACATGGGAAGTGATTAGTATCACAATGGGTTTGTCTCGCTTGTTAGAGACTTAGATATAATGTTATGTGCTTATCTGATAACGTGTTTATGTGATTATTTGGGTATGGGATTTAGTTTCTAGGATGTTGATTGGATCCTTGGGTTTCTGTGAGTCTTGTTAGAAAAGCACTTGATCAATGCTGTTTCTAACCGGAACTCTAGTAACGCCTCGGGACTATCGTTATCCTGAAATGAAATTCGTAAGTGCTTATGTGATTATGTGCTTACGTGGAATGAATTACAGTTGTCCATGCATTAGGACGCGAGTGTTATAACTTCGACACATTTATGAATGTGCTAACATTCTTCGTTACCTTTATTAGGATGTCAGGACGAGGACAAGGACGAGGTGGTAGGCGTGACAGGCGGGGTAGGCAGGAGATGCCTTTACCGGATAATATTCCGGCACAACAAGAGGAAGTTGGTCAGGCCAATGTGGCCGAGCCAGCGTGTCAGCAGGCTATGAGTGCCTTGGCCCGAGAGATAGTAGGAGCTTTGGGTATTCTCAGAGTTGGGAATCAGGATCAGGCCCGCGTTGTTGAGGCAGGGCCTTCTTTTCTGAAGAGGGAATTCTTCCGGTCTAACCCGAACGAGTTTGTTGGGGATCCGAAGGAGCCACTTAAGGCTGACAAGTGGTTGGAACAGATGGAGAAGACGTTCGAGATGCTTGGCATTGAGGACGGGGCTTTAAAGGTGACCCTGGCATCCTTCCAATTGAAGGGAGATGCGGGTCAATGGTGGAAGTACGAGAAGGGCAGTGTTGGTGGTGCATGGAGGGCTTTTGTGGATGCCTTCCAGGAGAAGTTTTTATCTTCAGCTGCTAGGGAGAAGCTGAGGGAACAGTTTTGCCAGCTTAAACAGCAGGGTTTGTCTGTGGCCGAGTTTGAGGCTACTTTTACTAGCTTGTCCAGGTTTGCACCTAAACTTGTGGCGTCCGAGGAACGCCGTTGCTTTGAGTTTGAGCGGAAGTTGAGGCGTGGACTCAAGTTGAGGGTTGGAGGGTCGTTTGTTCAAGAGTATAGACGTTTGGTGGATGCTGCAGCTCATATGGAGATTATGATGCAGGAGGAGGATGAGGAGAAGCATAGAGGTTCCAAGAGGAGCCAAGATGGCCAGGGTGATGGCAGGAGACAGAAGGGTTTCAACCCTCAGCAGTCTCAGGGTGGTTTGGCTAGATCGACCTTTCTAGTGCCAAGTGCAGGCTCCGGGAGAGGTAATCAGGGAGGCTTGACTTGTTTCACATGTGGCTAGCTGGGTCACAAGTCTTCGGTTTGCCCACAGAAGGGAGAGTGTAGACACCCCATTTTTGACCGACCTTGAGACTCAGACGTCACCAGTTGAGCACTTGGTGATATTGCATATTGTGCTCGTTCAGAAGTTTCAGAGTCTCGGCTGCAAGCCTTGCCTCCAAACTTCCGGACCCTTTCATGCTTTGCCTCGATTTGCGAACCAGGCTCGGTTTTCTCTGATTTCTCTTCGCGAAGGGAGGGAGAGGTCTCGTAGATCATCTCTCAGTGGCCGTAGGCTACGTTTTGTGGTTGTAGGCCATTTTGCCCGTTTGGAGTCCGGTTTCTAGTTTTTCGGAGCCGTTGGCCGTGTGCCTCGGTTCGGAACCGCTTAACCATCTCCATTTGCTTCAATTTTTGGCATACTTCTTATTTGCTCCCTTTTGAGGGACACTGAGGTCTAAGAGACCCGCTTCGTGGTCGAATGCCACTTTCGGTGCTTAACAGGCAGTTTTCGAGGCCCCGAACTGCGCATTCTGGCCCCCGAACATTCGTTTTGCATCGGTTTTCGTTCGTTTTTGGCAGGTACCTCTGTTTCATCACCAAGAAGGCCGTAGAAGGGTGGGAGGCCAGTAATTGTTTCAGCAACCAGTTATATTCCTCCGGCGCCCTCCGACACCCGTTTTTCTCACTTCCAAGCCAATATTGACCACCCTAGGGTCACTTTCTTCAATCTTAACCCCCATATTTGTGTTGTGCACACATGGGAGGACACCAAAAGTTGGTGGCCGGCCAGTAATTCCACCTGACCCTTTTGAACCCTTCCTAAAATTGGCCTATTCTCTCTCTTGTTTTATAGTTGACAATTTTTTATCACAGGGCTGTGTTGTACACACCTGGAAGGACACCAATTTGTAGTGGCCAGCCATTAATTCACCTTGGCCCTTTTGACCCCTGGCCGGCCGGCCACCTGCAGCTCCAAAACCTGGCCGGTCTTGCTCCTCAGGATGAGTACATTCCAGCTGTATATCTGTTTTCCCCCCAAAAAACCTGTATCCGGGGGACAACTTTTGGGGGGAAACTTGATCCATTTTTGTAGACGTCCCCGAACGCCCTGGGAAGGTGAGTCCCGTTCTGTTCATTTGGGGTCACTACAGCTCAGGACTCTCAAATTGTCACGGTTCTAAGTCTGAACCAAAGAGTCCAAATCCGGCAAATCGTTTTGAGAAAACAGATTTTGAAAGAAGTGCCAAACATGGACTGCTTTGCCAGATACAGAGTCGCCACCTAAAATAATTTATTTTGCGGAAATCTTAGGAAACCCTGACCTCGTCTTGCCTAAGGCCACGTGTCCCGCATCACCAAAGTTGCCCCGTCGGCTCCTTCGGCCGACACTTGGGCTACAATTGGGGGAAACGGTCATTCGTGAGCACCCCCGCTCCTGCCGATCAACAGATCGGCCTCTAACTAAGCCATGGACTATCAAATTTTTGAAAAAACATTGTTGCTGTTCTTATTCCAGTTATCTAGCCTACGATTTAACCTATACTGATCCGCGCACAGCATGACATAGTATAGACTGGGTTCACCTGAACTTGGAACAAAACATTTCATGTTGTTTTTGAAAGATGGTTTGCTAACTCGCAAGTAGCGCTTAAGATGCCAGATTTTACCACCCTCAGGTGGGCTTAGGATAAAAATCCGGTTTTGCCCAACTATCTAGTGGGCTTAAAACTCACACGTCAATGATTTTGTTCCAATCCAAATAACCCAACCTTCACCCACAGGCATTCAGCGCAGCTTATAACTCAACATAAAGCAAATAGCCTCATGGTATAGCAATGCATTCATGGCAGTCACCTCACACGCATGCAAGGATGCCCTAAAGCATAAAACCTTCACCGCAGTACTCCAAGCCAAAACAGAACTTATTAGAACAATCCATAGCCATGGTCTAATTATACAAAAACTGCCTAATGCAACAGGCCACATGCAACATGCAACTATAACCAGCAGGCTCGGGCTATTCTAAAGCATGGCACAATGAAGAATGCACAGCTAACAAGCCTATTCAATTTGGAATTGAAAATACAAATCAGTCTAGTAATTGATGCGCCCGAGCCCGGTGCATGCAAAACATGTGAAGTGAATGCAAACATGTTGTCATATTGTATGCTAATTGAAACATGCCCTAGACTAACCATCGTAAGCAGGTAAATAAAAAGGAAGAAAGACGTGGGGTTGGAAGACATACATCACACTCACCCACACTTATTACAGTTGTGCCCTCGCGCAGAGGGTCCGAATAAATATACAGTCTAAGTAATACAATCCAAATAATACAGTCCAAATATCTACAAATTCCTAATTAATTTACAAATTAACTAAAAAGCTATAAGAAACTGGCATGCAAGCCAGGGACTGCCTTGATTCCGCTCCGGGTGATGAATGATGCATGTTCGGGTTGCCTTTGTGCGGAAATCCATGATGATGCCCCAATTAGCCTCTGTTTGCGCCTGTTCTTGAAATGCGTGCCAAGCCTCGGAAGACTGCTGATTCTTGATTTGTTGCAACAGAGAGCAGGAAAGGGGCATAGCAATGTATTTTCACAAATGTATGCATGCCTCGATCCTCGTGCCACCAATCACGCATCTCGATGCATGATGGCCGAGGGGTCGAATTGCACAATTCAATATGGAATGAATGCGCATGAAAACAAAACAAAAATCTTACTCCATCATGGATAATTCGGAATGTCGGTGGCTGGGGAATTGAGACACGTTCCGTCACTCGGAGTACGAAACGTACCTCGTTTCCCGTGCCCAGGCTAACTCGCATCCCGAACACGATGCAATATGCATGACATGCATGAAATGCAACTAAGATACAATCCTAACATACACAATGTTATGGAATGGCATACACGCTGCACGAGGTAATACACAACAATGCAAACTAAGATACAACCTAACATGCACAATGTTATGAAATGGTATACATGATGCACGAGGTAACATGGCATACATAATGCACTAATATACAACCTAGCATACACAATGCTATGAAATGGAATGGCATACATAATGCAATATGGACTTGCACCAACACAAGTGGACCTCAGCCACATTCACATAGGAGGCCATCAGATGAAAACAAGACAACTCGAAATGCGTGCACGCGTGCACGCAAACCGAGGACTGACCCTCAGGCACCGAAATGCCACTCTAATGAGACATGGCAAAACATGGAATATGGCACACTATAATGCAAAAATCAGAGGTAAAATGAGATGCAAAACAGCCCCGAATCATGGCAAAATGATACCCGATGCATGGAACGAGTCCCGAAACATGAATTTTGGTGCATGAAATGGCCTATAGCTATGCAATGCATGCATAATTTGAACATGAAGTATGAATACAGAAGCTAGGAAGCCCCAAAACAAGCATG